TATACAAATCATTATCCAATATTGACATTCATAAAGATTTACACAACCAACATATAAAGGGTTACCAGCTGTAAGCCCTGATTAAACAAATGTTTGGAAATCTGTACCTGTTCAAGACAAGGGGATTCATTTCCTTAGATATTTTTAAAAGCTCTGAGCCATTACATAGTCTAGGTGATTCCAGAATAACACCACTAGCGATTTTTACAAAAGCCCAAAGTTTGAGATGAAACCCACTACGTTCTCACTTTTAATTTTACTTCTATTCTTCATAATACAGTAGAAACATGTATTCTATTCTTATGGATATTAAATGTTCACAGTGAGAAAGCTCTTTTTGAGATTTATAATGTTAATTTGCCAACACCCATTTCTCAGTGCAGTTGTAAGTAATAAATTTTGCTTCCTCAACGTGAATTCCTGTGAAATACATAAAATGTTTCTACATTTAATTCTCTTTTTTGCCATTTTCATAAATCTGAGCATTTTCCTCTCTTTTTCTCCACGACCATGATTGGGGTGCTCGCTCAGAGGCCTAGATTTTGAGGGAATGTACTGTAGTGCTTGTGCTGCCTGTCTGTGTCAAGGGACAGGACAAGATGAGCAAAGACTTGCATTATGGGAAGGTCCTTTGGCTTCAGCAGCCTGAGTTCTGGGTCATTTATTTCTCCCATCTACTATGTTAATTCGTGACATTGTCCATCCATTGTGTTCATCCTGTGGATGGGCCTAAAATCATCAGCACACTCGGAAATTTTTCTTAGCTTCTTTATCTATCATACAGAAAAAGAATGAGGAGTCAAACAACTGTATAAAGTAAGATTCAGGTTTATTTATAGAGAAAAGTGTGGGACAGTAAAAAGCCCATGTTACAAGTGGGGTGCTCAGGGATGCATGATGGTGCAGAAAGCCAGGAAGGAGTCTTGCATTTATCGAGTGAAGTTCATGGTCCCTGCCTCTAAAGGTAGCCCCACCCCAGGTTGGTCTGCAACATTGCCAGGAGTTTTGGTTTCAGTTTGGCATCGACATTGTAAAAAAACCACTTTGCATAATATTATAAAACATATAAAACATATAAAACATTCATGAGAATGCATGATACACGACTTCTAAATTCTCTTTTTTTTTATTTAAAGAAAAGGAAACGAAAAAAAAATACATGGAGATTAAAGAAAAAAAGGGTAGAAAAATAATACTAAATTACAGACAAACAAAAGGTAAGAAATCGCCAGTTGATAAGTTACAAATTGTCTTCTTCGAAATGGCTGTTTAGGTTATAGAATTAAAGTATTTAGAATGACATTCAAAAAAGTGACCCTACAAACCATTCTGCTCTATGGCCGAACAAAAGCTCCGTAATATGATTATCAGTCCCACCTATTTGTTTTACATCTCTAAGAGGATAAGGTTAACCATATCAAAACAGAACAGAACATTTAAAAAAAATAAAAAACAATTTAAAGAAATACAGATTTCAAAGCAAGTCCACTGGAGATCTACCTTATCTAACTGTCTCTAGCTTCTTACAGATAGTTGTCCCTAACTTCACCCACTTTCTATACTTATTACATATTATAGAACTAATCAAATCATTACTGGATGATGGAGTCTTTTTAGGTCCTCAAGTTCCAAATTAGGGAAGACATTTCCAACTACCATCGCATCTCTCATTCTCTTTGTGATAGCCGTCCCCATCTCTGCATATGCTGAAGTTGAGCTGAAGAAACCAGTCCAGAGTCATTTTAATCAGCAAGCAATAGATTGCTAGAATTTATATTATAATGCTACAAAATAAGCCTCGGGTTTTTCAGGTCTCTTCCTCAGAGTATTTGTTCCTATCCTCTCTGTATTATAGGGAAAACCAAGTCATAACAAGACAGCGAAACAATTTCCTAGATAAACATGCAATGGATAAGACTTACAAAACTATAATATAAATGATCTTCCGTAGCTACTATGTTTTCTCTTGTTATTTTCAATAGATTTGTCGACAACACTGGCTTATTATAGTTAAATATACTATCACCTATTTTTATAAAAACTTATCTTTGACTGCATTGTAGTATTTGAGAGCTGTTACTGATTCATACCAGTATGGATATCCTTTACATCCTGTCATGCTCAGAGTAGTTTCCTCTACTTTTAGGGTTGATTCTAACAGGCATACGGATTTCAAATAGGATCAGTCAAGGCCAACCAATAATCTTATGATTCAGATACAATTAAGATCAGTCATAGTAAGACAATGTAAGTAATACAGGATTTCAGCTTAAGTCAATAGGAAAGTAAGGATGGTTACCATGGTATAACCTGCTATTTTTGGTTCTAGAGGTCTGTGTCCTCAAATCTGATATGAGTGGACAGACCAGAACAAATTTAATTCAATCTAAATATGGCACTAGGACTACTGTGTCTTTTAAATCATTATACACCATTAGCAATGACCTATGCTTTTTTTTTTTAATATAGTTTCAGAGCTGTCTCTACCAAAGACTAGCTTACCGTCTCTGCCTCCTGTCTGCTACTCCACTTTTCTGCTATAATTTGTCCACCTTATTCCCTCATTCCATGGTCTGCCCCGTACACTGAGGCCTCTCTGCCACTGTAGCTGTAATCCTGATATTTCTTCCTCTCTTTCTCTGTAATGTCCTTCAGCGCTCTCTGTAGGGTTGGATTGGTGGCCACGAACTCCCACAGTTCCTCCTTGTCTTGAAAGTATCTTATTTCTTCATTAATTTTTAGAGAGAGTTTTGATGGATATATGAACTTAGGTTGCATATTTTTTTCCTTCAGGACTTGGAATATTTCTCCCCACTCCCTTCTTGACTTAAGAGTTTGTGTTGATAAGTATGCCGTTATTTTGATAGATTTCCTGTTATAGGTAACCTGCATCTTTTCTCTGGCTGCTTTTAATATTCTGTTTTTTTGGTGGATTTCTGGGATCTCAATTATTATATGCCTAGGCGTAGATCTGTTTTGGTTGTAGGTAGCTGGCGTTCTGTATGCTTCTTTTATCTGGATATCATTTCTTTTTGCTATACATGGGAAATTTTGCTTTAATATCTCTGTGAATATTTTTTGTATTTCATTTTTGGATGTTCCTGCTTCCTCACTCACATTCTTTATTCTTAGGTTATGCATCTTTTTATCATCTTCCAGTTTTAGAATTGCTTCTTTCTGGTTCCTTGTTATTTTTAAGAGGCTTTTTCTTTCACGTTCATAAGCCCTAAATCTCTCTTCAAGTTTCAGAAGGTTGTCTTTAGTTTCTGTCAAGGCATTTTGCCAATATTCAATGGAGTTTTTAGTTTCCGGATTTTCTCTTTGGATCTGTTTCATGTATTCTAAGTTATGCTTAAATTCTTCAGATGCTTCTCTTTCTTTTCTGATTTCCTCAGTTCTTCCATCTGTGTTCTCTTGGGCAGGGCTTGTCATTTCTTTAATTAATCTCTTTATATCTTGCCTCACTTGGATCAGGAGTACATCTTTAAATTCCTCTATGAGATCATGTAAATATTTTTTAATTTCGGCTGATGCTGAGTCGAGCAATGGATGGTTACTGTGCTTGTTTTCTTCAGTGTTTAGTTCTCTTGGGTTTAATTTCTCCTGTTGAATAGCTGGAGATTTTTTTTTATTTTTATCTCTTGTCATGTTTCTGGTTTCTTTCAGACTGTCCTGGAGTTCTCTGGCCCTCTCCAAATTGCTTAGGGCCTTTCAGAAGCGTGCCGGCTTGAGTTTTTGCTATCCTCCCCAATTTGCTGTTATCTGGGGTAGGCTGGGATGCAGGGGCGGTACAGTCTAGTCTCTAGCCTCTGTGTCAGTTAGTTCATAAATTAGGCTGTACTTTCTAGTTGTCACTGAGTTGTGACCATTCTGCATCCGCCCATTGGGCCCCAAGCAGAGGCCTGATCTAGCCCCAACAGCTCCTGCCAGTTCTCCCTGAATCAGAAGCGTAATGGCACAGGATTCTGCCCAGGTCCCAGCCGTTCTCTTCCAAACCTCTCTGTGATAGGAGCTCTAGAAAAGCAGATCTGCCCAAAACCAAGATGGCTCCCACTAAGTTCTCCGTGCGGAGCTGAAGCCAGCAAGCAATCAGACTCTGCCAGGACTCAAGATGTCTTCCACCAGCCCTCCCTACAGGGGGTCCTGGTGATGTCACCAAGCTGCGATTTCTGCCGCCAGGCTAATATGTCTGCACCAGATTCTGTGTTATTGATTTCCCCGTGGTGGCGGGCCAGCTGTTCTCTAGCCAAACCCAGCCGCCGCGGGGTTTTCTATACTCACCAGAGTCCTGTGCAAGTCCCCGCTCCGGGACCGCCACACACCAAGCCGTCCACTTTTCCCCACCTCGCGGCTCAGCGCTGACTGGTCAGATTTCTGTGCACCGTTTAGATTCGAAACGCCAGAGCTCTGTACATCTGCGCTGGTGCAGCGGTGCAGAACTGGCTGCCGCCTGGAGTCTCAATCTGGGTCTCAGTTTCCGCAGTCCCCAAAAGCAACTCAGCTTTTCGTGTTGGGTCCACGAGTCTCTTCGTTGATTTAAGGGCGCGGGATTTGCAGCCTCCGGTCTCAGCATGACTGTAAATCCTCCAGCTGTACTGTCTTGGTTGATAAGGATCGCTATGGATTTGTCTGGTCCTCTCCATGCTGTCTTTTTTTTTTTTTTTTTTTTAGCTTTGAGTTTGAATTCTCTGGAGAGATTCTTCGCTCGATCCCCTAGCACGCCGCCATTTTCTCTCCTCACGACTTCTAAATTCTCAAGATCCCATTTCATTTTTCTGACCTTAAGACGGTGGTCCCTTTTCTCCCCTAGATAGGCACAATTTAGTATTTCCACGTAGAAGAGTGAAGTTTCCACAGATTGCCCTAGCATATTATGGTTCAGTGGCAGCAAATGTGGCCAGTATTTGGGAAATAAATGGAGATGTGGGATCTTAGGACAGTCTCATACGCTTGCATGGGGGTACCATGAATGCACACTGCATGGAAACCAGACAGTGATAGGCTTCGGCCACCAAGTGACGGTGTGACACCACCATGATCTTCCACCCAGAGGTCTCCAGGATGTCAGAAACATAACAATTGATGAAATCCAGTGTCCGGGTTTTCAACTGATGTGCACTGTGGAGGTCAGCCAAGATGAGGATTTCCACGGCATTCTCCACAGAGAGGTTGCTGCACAGGTGGTTCTCACACATGAGCTTCAGGCGATCCAGAACAAACCTGGTTGCAGCCTCCAGCAGTTCAGTTGCCATGATCCCTAGGTTTGGTGTCTTTCCAGTGTACATAAAGTATATCATTTCCTTAAAAACTTCAGGATCAATGTCACTGATTTCAACACGATTCTTTTTGCTCCCTTGATTTTCATGTTCCAACAACGTCATGAAAACTGGAGAGCGAGCTGCTAAGATGGCTTTGTGAGCCTGGAATTCCTGGCCAGCCACACACAAGCAACAGTCTGTGAGCTGGGATCGCTCCCACAGTCCTCCTAGATCCTCTGCCAAGCAGCCCTCAGGAACCTTAACCAGCTTCCTAATATTCTGGCTGGAATGATTGGTGGGATCTTGTGCTACTTTCACTTCACAGAAGAAGGAAAGCTTGTCATTGGAGAGAAGCCCATTGTTTGGATCCAAAAGAAACTCTCTAAGGATGAAATTTTTGAATCCCCAGCACTTTCCTTGCACAAATGTATAAGCTTGTGGACTTGAGAGCTCTTTTGTTTTCTCTCCTTTGGCATTCAGAATGGAAAAGGTGAATTTTGCCCGAGCTACCCTCCATGGACAGCAGATCATTCCCAGGTATAGGGACAGATAATCTTTGCTTTCTGCATCAAGCTCATTTGGGTAGACTAGTAAGCACCATTTCACTTGATCATTTCCTTCAGCTGAAAAGATTAAACTTTGAATGCAGTCATCTATTTCCTTTAGGAAAAATCTAATGTTATCAATGGCCCACAAAAAGGACACGTTCACTACTTTGATGTCTGTGGTGTACCTGCTGTCCACTGCTGGCCCCTGTGACATTTCTGCTGGGCCTGCGGTACTGGAAACGCTTAACATCAGCAGAGTGAATGTGCAGCAAGCTTGTCAAGTCACAGGAATCAAATTTCTTCTTCACCAGATGGCACAAATTTCACTGCAGTCAGCACTTCCAAGACAGGCAGGGCAGTATGGCAATCACAAGTAGAGAGCCTAATGTATAGATTAAAAGAAATACTTATTTAGAAATAAGCTGACAGATTTCCTAGTATGTAAGACAATTCTGAAATGCTTCTTGATCACTCAAAGAAATAGCTCACCAAAAGGCACAGACCTGAAAATATGAAGCCTTGTTGAGTCCCTTCTGAGTTCCTTTCAGGAGGCTAATTCATCTGGGCTGGAAGCAAGGATATGTTTTCCAAGTTTCGAGCAGGGAACAGCCTCATCATGGAAACCAAAAGGATTCTTCCTTCTTGGTATCCCTTTTATAACTCTTAGGACAGGATCCACCCTATGGTGGTTCTTCCCACACTATTCTAATCCAATTGCCCTAGGTGTGTCTCACTCAAAATGTGAGAGTCAGCCAATTTTCCTCCTACCTGTCTTTTCTATATGTTTATGAAAACAGTCTGTTTTACTATCCCAGAATTTCTTTGTTCTCATTCATATGGGGGAGTTCTCTGGTCTATCGCCTTCCTCGCATTGACAGAAGATGAGAGGCCGGGGTGGAGGATAGTAACTCCAACATGCCACTGTTCTCAGTAGGCCCTCTGTGTGTATTCCTTTCTGGTGGTAAGGAGCAAAGCAGGACAGAGAGGGAAATAAGGCAACTTTTCCCTTGGGATCACATGTGGGTGAAAGCCACTTGCAGGGAAGTAATGTGAAAGGAGCAGATTCAAGGCTCCATGAGAAATAGGTGTACTGGGAGGGAAGAGGTGGTTCTTCTGGGTCATCTGATACAGTGTCAGGAGCAAGAGACATGGATTTGGGACAGGCACAAACAGGGAATATTGGTAGAATGTCTCTAAATCTAACGTCTAGTGTGGGATAACTGTAAATGCTACTTGCTCAGAGCTCTTAGATCTCCTACTAACCCAGTTCACTCCTTGGACCCAATGTTTGGAACTAGTAACAATACTGAGTTCCACTGGCATTTCTTGGGACATGGGTCATGCTGGGAGTGCCAGGAATCCAAGCAAAGCCTCTCCCCACGGTGAGCAGCTGTGAGCCTGCCAGCCTGCAGGCTGAGAAACAAACATCACATCTTCTCCCCACTCCCATTAGCAAGTGGGAGCCAGTAATCCGGAAATCCCTTGAGAGGTTGACCCTAGGCAATGTAGTAAGGAGGGGATTTCCTTCTATCATCTCTTTCAAGCCTGATACTTTTATCCATGTTTTGCTTTGTTCTATATAATAAGGTCTTTTTTAAAAGCTGGTTGTGTTTAACTGAGTTTCCACATACATGAAAGCATGCACAGGTACTTGGAAGCAAACCAGAGATTCTAGCACAGCCATTAGTGACTTCCTTATTGTCTGATTTTAAAGACCAAAAACTCCTTTCTCATACTGTTTGGATTAATTTTATCCTAGGTTGCTCAGTATGAATTCTCTGTATTGTAAGACATGGACAACTATTTGGAAGAAAACAAGAGACAATATGATAGATATGGAAGATCTCAGATTATCTAGTTTTGAAATTTGTATTTTTACATTGAGTACTTATGTCCAATTTTGCTCTGTTCCATTGTGTTTAATTTTATCCCCTTTGACACAAAACAACAATGCTGATTTGCACGGTGCGGTCGCACACATCTTTAATCCCAGCACTCACAACGCAGGAAAATCATTGCAGTTTCAAGGACATGTGGGATTAAATACCAACCTGAATCAAAAACCAAAGGAATGAAAGCACAGAACGAATGAGGATGGAAGGAAGAAAGGAAGGAAGGAAGGAAAGAAAGAAAGAAGGAAGGAAGGAAGGAAGGAAGGAAGGAAGGAAGGAAGGAAGACATGAAGGGCTACCACTTCAGGAATAGATATCACTGGCTTTCTTCCAAAGCTTTGCTTTTTTCTATTTTACATACTCAGAGTGTGCTCCAGTTTTCCACCAGACTCCGAAGTGTTACATACACTCATGTACTTGGGGAACTTATTGGGAGGAACTCAACAGTCCTAATCCCTAACAGATTTTTTTTTGTCTTTTTCATTTTTATTTTTACCAGGGATAGAACTCAGGACTATTGCTTGCCAGGCAGGTGCTTATCCTGCTGAGATAAACCCTGAGCCCCTCCCTAACAGATTTTAATACTCTATTTTTGCTTTTATTGTCTGCAAACTTGTCTATTACACATGGGCAGGTAGAATTCATTTAATCATTGCTAACTGGAGAAATAATTGCCTCAATTATTGGTAGGTTAAATTTCTTTTCTGTACCAGGAAAGCTTTCACTCATGATGTCTGCAAATAGCTTTTAATGTCATTTGTTTTCTCTCCTTGTCACTAAGTGCCAGCCTGAACTCAGTATCTGAAGCCCTTTCCTCAAACTGGCCTAAAGTGCTCTGAATTTTTAAAATGGATTTTTGTTTCTCTTGGATATCTGCTTGAAGCTATTTAAAGGGTTCATTTATTTCTTAGGTTGTGCTTCAATAATTCTTATAAGCTGGTTTTTTTTTTATTTGTCTGTGTCTGCACTAACCTCACTAAGAATGTTGTTTATTTTAGTAATCTCTGTTGTTGCTTGTAGATACTGGAGAGATTACTTCTGATTTAATATTTTCCACAGCCTCATTCAATAGCCTTGTTGCCACATTGAAGTAACCTTCCATTAGCTTTTCAAATTTTCCAACCTCATTTCCCCCCAGGTTTGCTTTGGTGGCCTGGGTACCAGAGGATTAGTCAGATTTGTGTGTTCTCATGTCTTTTCTGTTTCAATTGAATTCCTACAGTGATACTTGCTTGCTAGTTTCCTAACAGTATGAACTGAATTTTTGAAGATAGAACAGAATGCAAACAATGATGAACAATATATAAATTCATGATATGTCCCATCTGTCCTCAAGGGTTAAGATTCAAAATATATTTTGGAGAAAGCAGAGTAATGGCAAAAGGGAAAGAGATTACAATAAAACAGAGCTGATAGATGGATCCCACCGACTGGGGGAAACTAATGCAGAAGACTAAAAGAGATTTGAAAGAGAAAACTTTAAATCCAAAAAAAGCATACCCACAAGGAAGTTAGGACTCACAGTCACCCTCAGAAATTAAGAACCAAATAAAGGAGAAATAAAAAGCAAATCAATAAAACAAGAAAATACCAAACAAAAAAGAAAAATGAATGAAAAAAAATCGGTCTCTTCCAGGATTCTCTCTGGATTCATTATTAGATGCCCTATGGATACAGTGTTCTGAGTCCTGCCACTCTTTCCCTTCAAACCAGGCCCTGCCTTATGATGGAGTAGTAGACAGCATTAGCCAGCCTGCCTCAAGATGAGACTCATTGGAATAAGCTCAGTCCAATCAATTTCCATGTGTCTGCACCCAACTAGGATCTTCTAAAGGAGGCTAGCAGCTGTTCTGGTTAAGGTTCATCTGACTTCACTTCAACATGGCTCCTGCCAAACATTCCCTCCTGCTGAATGACAAAATCCTTCTCCATTCTGTGCCAGACAGTGAAGGCCGCCAGGCCTGCTGCTTATCTACACTGCTGAGTCTCACAGCAATGTCCACTGGTCTCACCAGCTGCCACTGTTACCATGAACAAGAGTCCCCAGGTCCAAACATCTCCCCTCACTAGTGTTGATGATTTCCTGATTCTGCAATAACTAGCATAACCGAAATAGTTTCAATGCCCATATCAGTACAATACCCAACAATCATCATTGCTGTGCTCTCTTAGTTAATTATAGGTCCTGAATTGTATGCAAGATATGTGCACTAGTTGTAATTCTATTGTGTAGATTTTGATATTTTTACATTAAAAAGATACTTTCTTTTACAAAATGACAAGAAAAATAGAAATCATGGGTAATTTGCAATAAATTTTCTTCTCTACATCTTCTTTTATAAATATGAGCATAACACTATTAGAGACACAAACACACACACACAGACACACACACACACACACAAATTATTTTTAAGCTAATCAAATGCAAGCTCTTGAAGACCCTTTCAAATAGGGATAAATTTTTCAAAAATTAACCCTTCTTAGAATATTGAATAAGTTTCTTCCTTGGATACACTGTGGAATTCCATTTGCATGGAAAAAGTCATCAGCCTTGTAGGAATGTTTTGTACATTTTTTTCATGAATTCTCTTTGTGTAGCAATGCTTTTAAACCAGGCTGATGAAAGGTGGGAAAATGCTGATTTTGTTTCTAATCCAGCCCTAGAGCTGTGTTAGAACTGAATGGGCCAAAATTTTTCCACATTCTTGTGTACAGATACAAGAGTATTGCCTGGCATATACCTTGTGATATG